TAATACAATAAAAAGTACTGTAAAATGTTTATTTAAAATTAATAAAGTGACTATAAATAAAAATTGATAAAAAAAAACAAAAATTCTTGTATACTTTAATCTTTAATAATAGAAATGTATAAGTTTAGAGATTTAGAAATAAGATCCCAAGATTTTTAGCTCAAAGTTCTGGTTCATGCTCATCCATCTTACAAGTCAGACTCAAAACATACAATAGATTACTATGAAATATGGATACAGTAGATATTTCAGTCACCTTATACACTACAATTTGCAATATTTTTGTTGATATCTTAAAAACTGATAAATATTTTCCTGTTTATCTGCATATTTTTAAAATTGCACACACAATTACATTTTCTTTTTTCATAAAAAATATATATAAAAGAATACAATACAGCCCAATTTTTATTGTAAGAATTTTTATGTGATAATTTCTTCAGATGAAATTTTCAAGAAATATAATTTTAAATAAAATCAGTTTCTTTATAGAAAGTTGTACCAATATATCACCATAAATTCAATATAAAATAAAATATTTATGTAGTTTTTTTTAAAATCTGTGTAAATGTATGTATAGAATTATACTAATCAGTTTATATAATTTATTAAAACTTTTTACATAATAGATAATTATTTATATTTTTAACTTCACAACTCAATATTAATTTTTAAGAATCCTAAGCCATTATATCAAAAAACCTTAAAATCCTTTTAACTAAAGAGTAGGCTGATTATCTGATCTTGTTTTAACAAACTGGTTTAGTTAAAAAATAACTCAGGTATTTTGAAATAAATAAATTTCCCTCTTCTCACAATGCTATGAAATTTCTCTCTATTGTTAACATTGTCTGCTTAGTAGTTTTCTGTTCATTTTGTTATATACATTACTTATATTTTTAAAGTTCTATTTTTAATTGAGTACAATAAGAGTGCCTTACTAAACTAAAATGAATTATTTGTAAAAAAACTTTCTATACTTATTGCATAATAGTTTGTGTGTAAAGACTTTCATGTGGTAATCTATTACATAACTGCATAATAGATTACATGATGTTAACATTATTTCATCGTAACTGCAGAAATTTTTTATAACATAAGTAACTATATGGTATGTTACTTTAATATGTTAACTTAGCTTTCTCAAGCAAGTTACTAATGAGTCAATTATTCAATGTCATTCAAAATAGTTCCAAAATAAAGATTTTCTTTACACAGTAGAGCGTCGTTTATCTGAAAGCCAGTTATCTGAAACGTTGGTTAACTGATAGCATTTCAGTCGGCAAATTTAAATTTTTGCTAGTGCTGTGCTGCTGCAATCTTTGGCTATATCTTGGGCTACAACAATGTTTTTTTTGTTGGTGTATGCGTTTTAGCTGGCAGCCCTGGCATTTTTGTGTGGTGTTTTTCTGAGGACTGTGTCGTGCTGAATCGAACGTTTTTGATACTAGATCAACTTCTAAAGTGTATATTTTTTGGTTTTTATATTTTTCAATATATTTATTTTGTTTGTAAAAAATAAATAATTTTTAACAATACAATAGCCACGATTATTATATTAAAAAGTTTACTTTAGGCAAAACATGAACAAAAATTGAATGTGAAGTGACATGCAATGGAGAAAAATTTCAACACGGAATAGGTTAATATATTTTTTCGTACATAATTGATTATCCGAAAAATAAGTTATCCGAACAACCCAAGTCCCCAATTGATTCGGATAAACAACGCTCTACTGTATTTAGAAATTTTGAAAAATAATTCTTTTTATTATTTCAGCTAACAATGTAAAATCATTTAATATAAATAAATAT